CAGCACCTAACAGCAGCAACTAGATCTCCAGACAAAATCCTGCTGCCGCAATGCTACTAACCTCACAGGCGGCAGTTCGAAACCACCAGCCTCTCTGAGGGAGAAACGGGAGGCTTTCAGCCCTCACTAGGAGTTAGGCTGGGAATCTCACAGGGGAACTTCTAGCCCGTCCTGTAGGGCTGCCATGAGTTGGAATCCACTCGATGGCAGTGAGTGGGCCAAGCAAGCGGTGGGCTCAGAAACCCTGTTTTTAAGTATTGGGTCTCACCCTAGTCCTGCAAAGATGGTTCCAGGCCAAAGAGTCTTCTCAAATTCATCGTATTAACCGGCTAAAAGGGGGCAGGGGTGGGGGAGCAGATGGGTTTCTCTTTAAATAACTCAAGCTCTTAAAATATTAACAATAAAAAGTCTGCCAGGTTTTTTTTTTTTTTAAACAAAACAAAAAAACACCCCGAGAGTCCTCGCGATCACTCTTTCCAAGCAAGAAGAGCCTCTTCCAGCAGTGTTACATAACAGGGATGACGGCCACTTGGGAGCAGGCAGCCAAATTCTATCTTGCTCTTTGCGTCTAGCTACTTGGACGAAGAGCTAGCTTATATTGGTGCAACGTGCCTTTTGGGATTGTAAGGTTCTTGGGGGCAGTGTGGCCCATAGGGGCAGAGGAAACTTGGCCCTGGGCTCAGAGTCCAGCTCCATCCCTGAGCTTGCCTCGTCCGACTCAGGGGGATCCCACATGTGTCAGAGGAGAACTGGGTACTCCATAGGGTTTTCTGTGGCTGAGATGGTTTTTGTTTGTTGGTATGTTGTTGTTTTTTTTTGGAAGTAGGTAGCCAGGCCTTTCTTCCGAGGCACCTCCGAGGGTGGATTTGAACTTCCCACCTTTAGTTAACACAGTGGAGTGTGTTAACTATTTGTACACGCTGGGGCCCCGTTCACCATGACCACCTATAGTTCCAGAGACTTGGAGGAGGGTAGGGGCAGTGGGATTTGTGGTAATAGTACCTAGCGTTTCTGCAGTGCCTGCTGTATACCAAAGGAGCCCTGGTGGCACCGTGGGTTAGGCATTTAGGCATTGGCTACTAACTGCAAAGTCTGAGGTTCAAACCCAACAGCTGCTTCTTGGGAGAAAGATGAGGCTGGCTGCTCTCCTGCAAAGCATTACCCTATCAACAACCCTGAGTAGGGTCACTATGAGTCATAATTGACTCTATGGCAGTGGGTTTGGTTTTTTTCCTTTCTTTTTTGGTACTGTAGAATATGCATTATTCTAAATCCATTACTGGAATTCCACATTTTCCTGAGACTCTGAGCAGAGCTGAGATTTTTTTGTCTTATTATAGTGTTACACTTTTTTCGGTCCTCGACTCTTTTTTTCTTGCTTGTGTTTGTTGTTTTTTACATGTTGTGATTTAGGTGAAAGTTTACAGAGCCAATCGGTTTTCCATTTATACACATTCTGTTCTGTGACGATAATTGCCGTCTCCGCAATGGAGCAACATTCTTTCCACCGCCTCCCCGTGCTTCCCTTTCCTGGTTGTCCGGGCGCTGGTGGTGAGGTGCCTTCTTATTCTTTGGGTCACTGTGACACAGGGTCAGCACTTGGAACCCCTGGCTGAAGCAGCAACTGCTGCTGTCCAGAGTGAGTCTCGGAAACCCACGGGGGCTGTTCTGCTCTGCAGGCTCAATACGAGTCGGAATCGACTCAGGCATGGTGCTCTTTTTGGTTTCTGACCCTGTGCAGCTCTGCGCTTTGTGCATTCTCCCCTTGGTGCTAAGACCCCTGAAAGCGCTGGTTGGTGGAAGGAGTGCATTCCTCCTTGGCTGTGTGGTTCCCCCCTGGGCCCTGCCTGTTGTTGGCTGGAAGTTAAGCCACAGGGCTGTGTGTTAGTTGTATCCTTGAAGGATGTTTCAGGGCTGGCTGTAGTCTCAGGTTATGTTGTCGCTGTAATTCGGTGCCATCGGGTCAGTCCTGACCCACGGTGACCCCATGCACAACAGAATGAAACACAGCACGGTCCTGAGCCATCCTTGCAAATTGTTCCTGTGCCTGAGCCCATGGTTGATGTCACGGTGTCCCTCCATGTCCTTGAAGGCCTTCCTCTTTTTCCCTGCCCCTCCACTTTACCAAGCACGCTGTCTTTCTCCAGAGACTGCTGCTCTTTCCTGGCAACAGGTCCAAAGCATGTAAGACCAAGTCGTGCCTTCTTTGCCGCAAAGGAGCACGCTGGCCGTACTTCTTCCGAGACAGATTGGTTTGTCCTTGGAGCAGCCGGTGGTACTTTCAGTATTCTTCTCCAGCAACCACAATTCAAGTGCATCGGTTCTTCTTCAGCCTCGGGATGTAGTGGCTTATGGTGCAGTGGATGCTTGATAGGTGTATGAACAAATGAATCCTAGCTAGGACTTTGTGTCCAGTGGGGGGTGGGGCATGAGTCATTGCTTCAGAAAGTCAATTCCCAGCCAGTGCAGCTCATGCACAGCCACGATCTGTCTCACAGTGGAGGCTGCTACGGTGCTAGGATGTGGACCGGGTTTAAGCAGTGCTTCCAGGTGAAGAGGGACCAGGAAGAAAGGCCTGATGACTGACTTCTGAAGCTCAGGCAGTGAACAAAACCCCTTGGATCACAAGAGTCTCCCTAGCAATCCCAGGGATGGTTTAGGACCAGGCAGTGTTCCCATTTCAGCGTGCATGGGGTTATTGGTGGCAACCAGTGACGTCACCGTGTACCAGTCCGTTCTTGTTTTCACAGCTGCCATGCCACATGTGTGTGTACATGTGTCCAGGTTTCCATCTTGTGACGAAATGATATAAATTATAATTTATATAATTATAAGTATATAAGGCCGGGCAGAACTTCCCTCTGTGTTTCCAAGGATGTGACTTGTGTCGGGAACAGATTGCCAGGCCTTTTCTGCTGCTCAGCCCTGCCCGTGCTGCATGGATTCGAACCACCGACCTCTTTCTTGGTTAGCAGCCAAGCACTTCACCACTGCCACCAGGGCTCCTCCGGAGTGGGTGGGTAGGGGGTGAATGGTGGTGTGTGTGTGTGTACACATGATGTCAATGCCAGGCCCATTTCCCAGCAAGCTCACTGAGGCCAGCTGGGCCAGTTAGAGAAAAGCCCTGGCTGGGAGTGGATGACAGGTGGTCACGTCTTAGCAACCAGGTGGGGAGCCTCAGTCCCATCTTATGGAGCCAGGACACGCCCCTTGTTTGGTGATATGCCTCCACCCCCTTCCTATGTGGCTGTAGGGAAGCCCTAAAGAAAATGAAGGATGTGTATGAGAAGACCCCGCAGATGGGGGACCCGGCCAGCCTGGAGCCCCGGATCACGGAAACCCTGAGCAACATCGAGCGGCTCAAGTTGGAGGTGCAGAAGTATGAGGTAAGGGCAGGCCCGCGGGGGCCCTGGGGAGGGGTGGGGCCATGCTGAGTCACCCTGCTGGGTGTAAAGGGGGGACGGGGAGGATGCCAGGGTGGGGGTGGGGGGAGGCTCCAGCTGTTTCTCATCACCGACTTGGGTGTGCATGGGTGACCTCAGCAAACCCAGTCGGCCTTGCTGGCTGACCCGCTGTCTTGCCTCTGGACCCTGACTGCTACGCCCCTCCTCCCAGGCCTGGCTGGCAGAAGCTGAGAGCCGGGTACTGAGCAACCTCAGCCGCCACTCCCGGCCTCCCGACCCCCCAGCCAGCGCCCCTCCGGATGACAGCCACAACAGCTCACGGGACCACAAAGAGAGGTGAGCACTGGGACCAGCCCTGGACCAGGGACCCGAGGCAACGGGGGCGGGCCTTCCCTTACCTCGCCGCCATTCTCCCAACCAGCCCCGAAGGACCCCCCTCGGAGGATAGTCAGGACACCCCTATCTACACGGAGTTCGATGAGGACTTTGAAGAGGAGCCCACCTCTCCCATAGGTCACTGTGTGGCCATTTATCACTTCGAAGGTGAGGACAGATGGCCTGGGTGGCCTAGGGAAGGGGGCTTGGTCAATGGAGGTGGGGGAGGAGGGCGATGGCCGGCGTGGGGGCAGCCCCGCTGCCTGGCCTCGGTTTCCCTTAAGCTTGACCGACACCCACCCTCCCGACAGGGTCCAGCGAGGGCACCATCTCCATGGCGGAGGGAGAAGACCTCAGCCTCATGGAAGAGGACAAAGGCGACGGCTGGACCCGCGTCCGGCGGAAACACGGCGGGGAGGGCTACGTGCCCACCTCCTACCTCCGCGTCACGCTCAACTGAGCCCGGGGCGGGGGCAGGGGGGCTGTTGGCTGCTGCTTCTGGGCCACGGGGGGCCCCCAGGACCTACGCACTTTATCTCTGCCCCCGTGGCTTCGGCTAAGACCTGTGTAACCTGCTGCCCCACCCACCCCACGTGGGCCCGCTGTCTGTGCCTTTATCACCGGTGTACATACTCCTGGGTCAGGTCTTTACTTCCTGCCGCTCGGCTGGGGCCATCGCGTTTTATATATAAAGAAAAAAAATGATGGAACGCCCTGGGCGTCGCGGCCTCATTGTGGGACGGGTCATTCCTTACAGGCCACATAAGGAGGAGGGTCTGGCGACCCGACGTGGGCCAGCCA